CTTCTTCATCTTTTTCCACGTATAGCCATGTATATATTGTTTACAATCCAGATATAATTTAATTGCTCCTGTCAGCTATGTTTCTCTAGTTCGATAAAATGATAGAGCTGGGGGACCCATGTTTCCTTTTATGTTTTGCCTGAGGAGCTTTTCTCTGTCCTGAAATGATGCTCTCTTGCTATTGTCAGGAAAAGGAATATTATAAGCTGTTTCTGTTTTGGGGCTTAAGATTCTTGGGTTTTGGGGGTATGTGTGTATATGTGTAATTTTCTTCAGACAAAATGTTAAAACTGCTATGATTCATTTAAAAATCTTTTCCATGAGAGTTCCAAAGCCTGATTTTGTAGATTCCTAAGAGCAAAGCAGGATTGGGTGGAGCTATTTTTCTCAGTGAATTCAGGAAGAAGCAAGTCAAATGGTAAAAAGGAAGCAAGTCAAATGACAAAAAAAAAAGTGGGTTTTGGATTTCTAATGGTTTTTGGTTTTCTCACCTCACTATAGTCCAGTACTAGTGATCACTTTTGCGTCTTCCCAGTCCGCAGTGAGCAGAGAGTGAGATGAGCACCTTGAGGCTGGGGGCAAGTGGCACTCAAGCCAGTGGGGTTGGGTTTGCATGTGCTGTGTCTAGATCTTCCTCAGCAGGGGGAAGGCTCGCTGAGATCATCGGTTAACTCAGCCCCACTGCTCCGTAGCTTTTTGCATTGCAAGCCGAAATCCACCGACTGAGGAAAGAGGAGCAGCAGCCAGAAGAGGAAGAGGCTTTGGTCCAACACAAATTGCCTCCTTATGTCTCCAATATGGACCGCCTGGGGGACTCGGAACTGTGAGTGTGCGGGACGGGGTGTGGGTGGGAGGGCAGTCAGCTCCCTCCTCTCTTTGTCCTCTGTCCTCTCAGCCTTGAGGTTCCCTCTGACCCCACCTCTCCCATGGTCCCCTGTGCTTACTGAGGGAGAATTGCCACACTGCTCTTGCTGCAGAGCTCTATGAGTAAGGTCCTCATGGTCTGTTAGGTCCATTAGGAGTTGTTCCCAACCTCTGAGCCTCTGGCTCTGCCCAGAGCCAGGGGAACTTCACAGCTCTGCCAGAGGCCTGCACATCCAGATGTGTGTAGCTTGGATAAATAAAAATACAACCGCTATGGTAAAGTCTCGGGGAGCTTTTGTGCACTGGAAGAAGGGCCTCATATATGGAAAGATTGGCAATCACAGGTTGTCTGCATTCCTCAGTAGAAGCATACACCTAAGGATTTAATGAGGTAGGCAGATTGAGAGAGAGGTATTTGAGTGACCTTCAAAAACAGCTAGTTAAAGCAGAAGCCGGAGGTGGCGGTAATAGTGATTGAAGAAACACAGGCACAGGCAGATGACACAGTTAGCAATTGAGTCAGGATGCAAACCCAGGCAGCCAGGCTCCAGATACATGCAGCCAAGCACTGCACCCGATGAAATTGCTCCAGTTTCTGAGCCAGCAATGTCCGATGGAAGTATAAATGTCAACAAAAGATGTAATTTAAAAATTTTTCGTAGCTATGTTAAAAAAAGTAAAAAGAAACGAGAGATTAATTTTAATGATTTATTTTTTAGCTCAGTATATCCCAAATATTTCAATATGTAATGAATATAAACACAATATTAATGGGCTATTTTATGCTTTTTTTCATGCTAAATCTTTGAATTCCAGTATGTATTTTATACCTCTGGCACATCTCGATTTGGACTAACCACATTTCATGTGCTCAGTAGCTCATGTGGCCAGTGGCTGTCAGACAAGACAGCTCTGAGCTTTACTGTGGCCCTCAGAGAAGAGTTGCAGATGTCAGTGTTGTGTCAGATAAGCTGCTGGCTCCCTTTGTACATGAAATGGTACCAAGCGTAATGCCACCTTAAAGCCCAGGCTCCTGAACCCAACTAAGGCCCCGGTCATTGGCATCGTCCACAGCCCAGGAGGTCTGTGTTCTTGGTTTTACCACGTTCCTCTCCAGCCCTGTGACGCCATGGTGCGTGTGCTTGCCCAGAGCCATGGTGTGCAGCCAGAGGAGCGCCTCCCTCTCCCAGTCGCCTCGCGTGGGCTTCCTGTCCTCACTGCTGCCTCAGAGTAAGAAGAGCCCCTCAAGGTTGTTGCCTGCCCAGGGGCCCCCTCAGGCTCAGAGCTCGGCCAAGAAAGAGTCCTTCAGTGGTCAGGTAAGCGCAAGTCCCACCTTCCTAACTCATGCCAAGAAGCCCCTGCCATCCAGCCCTGTGCTCCCAGACCTCCTTGTCAAGTGCAGGTAGTTTGCCTTCCCTTTAGGGCTGATTTCTTGGGCATGTTGATGAGACCCTAAATTCACATCTCATTCCCTTTCCTCCTCTGTCCCTGCCTGTCCCCTCACTAACTGATAGCTCTGCAGGATGAGAATATAGATAAGACTATAGCGGAGGAACTGAGAGAACCAGGAGGAAAATCCACCTGATACGTGGCACGCCCCCTGCCTCCCCATCCTCGCCCATCCTTGCCTCTGGCTGGAAGTGCAGGCGCCGTGGCAGTCGGCAGACACATGCGCACTGATAAAGGCATTGCCGGACCTCAGACCCAGGTCTCCTGACCCAAGTGGCTGCTCTCCTCTGACCACCACCTGCACTCCCGTGCCAACTCTCAAAAGTCTGCCGCATCTTCCGGTTGAAGCAGTGGATAGCCAATGACAGGAAGTAGGCTTTGAAGATTCCCCCTCTTTTCTCATAAATTTCTTATGAGCTCACAAGGGCTTTTGACTGTGTTTTGGAGGCTCAAATGTGAATTCAAGCAATTCTGGAATTTTGAATTTTTGGCATAAAGAAATGTCTGGCTAAGGAGAAAATTATAATAGTTACCTCTGAATCCATGTATTTCACCTACAAGTTGGTATTTGCTGATTCTGCAAAGAATTTTCTCTATTTTTTACTTTTATGGAAGATTGCGAGAGAATTTCTTTGATGTCAGCTTATGTCCAAAATAGCCAAGCATCCCACTAAGTAGTTTTCCTAGCAGAGATTGTCAGAATTCATTGCTTTCAGAAATGCCTGCCAGAGTGAAAGCTGAAGAGACGCAGAGTTATACTTTATTGCTTGGATAGAGACACTTTCGCTTTTCATGTGTTTTTATTCGTTACAGATAAAGTAAGTGGTCATAGTCTGTGCCTTCCTCTTCTGCCACCCTCGACTTGAGACCAGTTGCAAGTGATGCAGCAGTTAGGGGCTGCTCCAGGCTGCCACTGGAACACAGCACCTGGGTTTAGTATTTTTGAGCTGGAAACACTAAGTAGGACACTGATCAGAAAGAGCATGGGCTCTTCTTAAAACTTTACTTTTAGCTCTGGTTCCTTGTTGGACATTGGTGCTCAGATTGTTTAAACTCACTCCAGTTTGCTTGGGATAATAATAATAGTATTTATTCCTGAGGGAAGGATTAATTGAGCTGATAGGAGCAGAGCCCTTGGTATGTGCCGTGCCTGGCAGATGATTAGGACTCAGTCAATTTTAGTAGTAGAGGTTGTATTCCTGTAGGTCCTGGCCTATATGGGTGCCTGAGTCAGTTCTGAGACCTAAGGTGCCATTAACACAAAATGAGTATAGTGTTAGCATCCATGAGGGTTGAAGCAGTTAAAAATCAATCATGGTTACTCCTATGAATGTTTTTCTGAAAGTTCGAATCTTAAAATTAGAATTCCAGTTCTGTGGAATGTGGCTGAGTTAGTTGTACTATAGTTGTACTGCTCTCTGGATCTCTCTCACTTGCAACGTTTTATAAGTTTAATAGATGGTGTATGGAGTGGTGAGTCCCTTGAAATGAGCTTGAAATTAGGAAATTCAATTTCATTAACTTAAAATGAAAGAAAACACAGAGACAGCTTCTTTGGGGCTAGGCCTATGGCTGTGCTCTTTGTGTGTTCAGGAACTGTGTGTCACATGGTGAGGATGAAATAGGATTGGAAATTTTTGTGCAGTTTACAGCAAAGAAATGAGGTTAAGAATGAGTAATTTGCAGCAAAACATTCCTTACCTTGCCTCTAAGATATAATTGAATAAAGGCTGGGTCACCAAGTGGTATGTTTACACAGCCAAGTTTCCAGTTCCTGAACAGAGATGACAGATATCTACAATCTGGAAAACCCAATGGTCAAGTCACTTGTTTTTTATTGATGGTTTCAATTCTAACAATAACTAGATTTGAGGTTCAAGAAAGTCACAGAATTCTGAAGTTGGAGGGAAGCTTAAAGGTCATTCTGGCCCAACCTCCTATTGAGTATAGGAGCACGTTGTCTGAATTGATTGCCTCCTGTGATGCAGAGCTCACTGCTTGTCAGAGTGGGAACATATGCTTGTTAGAAAACTACTAGTAGACACTTCTTTGTAACTTTTACTCACCAATCTTAGCTTTGTTTTCTGGAGCTGTGTAGAGTAAGTTGTCTTATATAGGACAACTTTTCCTATCTTTTCCATGCTACGCACTCTTTGTTCATGCCCCCGCTCACCTGTTTGCCCCTATGGCATGATTTCTAGACCCCTCACATCCTGGGCCCCCTCCTCTAGGGGGACATTCTGATGTTTTAGTCCCTTAATTACAAGTGATACCCAAATTTGAGTGTACAATTCTAGATGCTTTCTCACCATACCAAATGCAGTGGATGGTAGGCACTTCCTGTTGATCATGATAATGTACTGCTTTGAACTCAGTATATAATGATGCTGTTTTTTTTTATTACCCCTCCCCAATGATACTGGTTTTTAAATAAGCCACATTGCTTTGTCAGTGCACATAAAGCATGTAGACTTTTTTTCTCACTCCTATCCCACCATACCTCTGATGGGGTAGGAGTGAGAAAAGTCTACATGCTTTATTTACTACATGCATTTGTTTTTACTATTAAAGAATAAGCACACAATAAAACATAGACTGTATTGTTAAATTAGCAATATGTAAAATGATTAGACTTTCCTATTTTAGATATCGTTTATTTAGAGCATTGTAGATTTCACTCACATCAGCATTTTGCCTGCTTGTGAGTGGTTCTGTACCTGTTGCCCTTATTACTAAGATGTTCATAGCATTATTCTTGCAAAATAGATGGTAATATACACTCTCCAGGCTTTCAGTGTGAATCTGGAGGCAAAATTAAAAAAATAAAGAAGGAAGTAACTGCAAAACCACAATTCCCAAGCTTTTCTGGGATCTCTAATTGCAGTAGCCAGGGAGGGCACATCCGTAGTGCCTCCCCTGGGCTGCTGCATGGCTCACAGTCTGCAGTCTGTACTCTGTCCTTCCCCTCAGGGCTAATCCTGCTCCTTCACACCCACTCGGTGAGCCATGGGACTGCAAGTGGGAATTACCTTATTACAGAGATAACCTTTAATTGGCTGTAATGTGAAGAAAGCAAAGTGTCCACAGACTTCTATACTTGTGCTCTTATTAATATCAAATTAATTCCCAGCTATGGAGACATCGGTGGTGATAACCACTGCCCGGGGGGCCGTTCCTATGGATCTTGGCAGGAGGAGGAAGAGCCAGTCATTCGGTGTATAATTTCTGTTTTATGAGGGCCTGTTTTCTAGGTGGCTTTGTTTTGCTTCAGGTAAGATCAAATTACTGGAACTTGTTTCCTCTCCCATTTGGATGATTACCTGGCAAGCTCTGTGAGGCTTTGCAATCCCTCCTGATCTACTCAGGCCACTGAAAATTAATGGGTGTCAATTTATATCCATCTGCAGAGTGAGAAGTGAGATGGTCAGATGATAAGACAGAGGTTACAATCTCTCTCTTGAACCATAGGAGTCAGGCAAATTATGATAGAATATAATTGAGACCATTGGCATGTAATGTTATATGTAGCCAATAGTTTTTATGATGTTTGCCCTTAAAAAAAAATAAAATAAAATTTTCAATTAATAGGTGTGTCACAGTAGATAATTACTTAAGTTATATACATGTGTAGCTACACACAAATTTACCTTAATCTACTTATTAAAGTGTTTTTTGGACAGCTTTTAATACATTATTATCTTTAGTGGTTGCTCACCCTTTAATGACTTATGAATAGATACAGTTTACGGAGAAGCTCTCCTCTGCTTTAAGCAGGATCCGATAGGTCATGCTTAGGTCCCGCCCTCTGTTGGGATGCATAACCCTATCGTTATCAAAGCAGTTCTTGATCTATAGTGGACACCTTCCTTGCCATCTTGACTTGTGAGGGAAGTGTTCCTTTGTATTATACTTCTCAGTGTTGTATTTTCTGCTCTTCCTGGGGAAACATCAGTGTTACAAGTGCCTTTTGAGTCAACTAGAGGAATTTGACTCCTCCTTATCCTGTATTTTCCTTAGAAATTTTTCATTTCATCTAGGTTGACATAAAGGTCTGCAAAGAGGTCACCACAACTACAGGCTTTCCAGGTGACTCTGATTCACTCTAGTTTGGGAACTACTGCCTTTTCTGTCTACATTGGACATATAGGTTCCTGAGACTAAGTATTAGCAAGTTTATCGGTTAAGTTCCTCTGAGACCTCCTCTCTGTTATTTCTTTTGCTCTCGTATGTAACCTTCACAGGATCTAGCAATATTAGCAATATTATATGGGTTCTTTTTCCTTTTATTCGCAAAAATCCAGTTTGAAGATATCTTGGTCAGGTTGATAAATCTGTCAAACCTGCATAATAGCTATTCTAGGCTTTTGAGGCATCCTCACTTGTTAGGGGCCCACTATTTTAGAAAACTGCCATCCACCCCGGAATATCTCCAGGTGAGAGATATTGCAGGGTGAGGACTGCAGGTGACCTGGCCCGCTCTTAATGGGTGGAGAATGGAAAGGAGTACGCTTACAACCTCACTCTCCCGCTGAGCCAGAGCTTTCTAAACCACCTGCTCAGCCTGGCCAGGGAGGACCTTACCTGGGAGCTGTCGGGTAGAGAAGCCATGCACGCCTTGGCGCTTGCTGTCCTCCTGGCCCAGCTGTGATGCCCTGGGAAGACTGCGAGAGACTTTTCCCAGCCAGCTTCTTGTCCTCTAGGCCACCAAGGGAAAGGACCTGACGTTCGGGACCAAGGATGGGAAGATCCTCCTCAGCGGGCTGGCCACTGGGGAGTCCAGTTGGTCACAGCACCGGCAGCGGCGCTTGCAGGACCACGGCAAGGAGAGGAAGGAGCTTTTCTCTACCACCACTTCCCAGGTATGGCGTGTTCCAAATGCCCCTGGGGACACCCATGCAGCTACTGAGCAGCACTGTGGAGGGGCCCTTCTCACCTCTCCTCTGAGTTCTGCTGCTGTGCAGAGTTAGGCAAAACCGCAACCACTAGAGCCCCTGGCATGCTGTGACCTCGACACCCCGCAGTGTGCTCCGAGTGTGGGGACCCCTTGCCAGCTGACTTGTCCCACTTGCTTACAACAGTGTGCAGAGAAGAAGCCAGAAGCCAGTGGCCCAGAGCCAGAACCCTGCCCAGAGCTCCACATGGAGCCGGTGGAACCGCCGACTCGGGCTTCCGCGGTAGGCCCTGAGGGTGGAGGGGTCCGTCCCGAGCAGCCCTTCATTGTGCTGGGGCAGGAGGAGTACGGGGAGCATCACTCGTCCATCATGCACTGCAGGTGGGTTTGGGCCTGGGGCCAGTGGCCTACCAGGGAAAGCGCAGGGTAGCCTGGACTTTTGGGCAGCTCATGTGAAGCTATGACTGGCTGGGGAGAATGGGGGTGCCGATGGAAGGATGGTCCCTAGAGGGCCATGGTCACCCCGAAGAGTCACGGGTATCCTGCTCTGAGCTATTGTTGGACTGGCCGGCCTCTCTGTCCTTTCTACTCATGTTTCTCTGAGTTTTAGGAACAATTTACCCTTTATTTTAACCACCAAAACTCACTTAAATTTAATTTGCTTTATATTGGTACTTCTAGGTAAATATTTACCATTTATAAGTTTTTACTTAAACATGGTGAAATCATGACCTTTTAAGAACAAACCCTCACAGACTGTAATTTTCAGAAGATAGGTGGGTTTCTTGTTTTGACAGCCCTGCCCCGGCCCTGGGGCTGTTCTGGAGTGTGACTGGGGAGGTGCTAAATCTCCCCGCCTGCCTGAGGGTAGCGCCCTGGGAATCTTGCCCACGGTTCTATGCCTGGTGTTGACCAGGAGAGGCACTTAAGAAGTGTTTCTTAGACAAATGAATGAAAGAATATTTCCAGAAATAGTCCATACCTATCCGTTGAGTGTAGACCTCTCGGGATTATTTTTAATACAGTAGGGAAGTCGGAGGAGCGATCATCTTGGCACTAGCTGAGGAGGATGGGGACTGAGCCGGGATGCTGACGGTGCTCCCTTTTCTTCCATTGCAGGGTGGATTGCTCTGGGAGGAGGGTCGCCAGCTTAGACGTAGATGGGGTCATCAAAGTGTGGTCCTTCAACCCCATGATGCAGACCAAAGCATCCTCCATTTCCAAGTCGCCACTGCTGTCTTTAGAATGGGCCACCAAGCGGGACAGACTGGTGAGTAACGTTGGCCTATGGGCTCCCTTTGCCATCTAAGTTGAAGAATTGCTCAGGGACTCAGAGATCACACATCTAGGACTGGCCCAGCAGCCTCCTGTTTTGGGGTGGCAGTGAGGTTACTGGTGGACCAGAAGTAAAACGAGCCACAGGGGGACCTGGAGAACACAGCTTCTGCCTGTCTGTGGTGATCTGCCCGGGCGACCTCCTGCCTGCTGGCGCCCGTCTGTCTGTGTTTCCAACCACGGTCTCAGCTCTCTCCCTGCCCACCGAGAGCCCTTCCGGGCCAGGCCCCACAGGAAGCAACTTATGTGGTGAGGGGATGGTGTTCTGTTTTGTGGTTCCCACGGGTCTAATTGCCCCCACCAATAGTATACTGTTCCTTTTCCCTCTGGACTCTAATATTTGGATAGGATTTGTAGTTAAGGAGGTAAAATTGATTTATCATTTTTTCTTTTGTTCCATTTTTTGAGGATCACACCATGTAGCCAAGGGGCAGACCCCTTTTTTGGGCAGCTGAAGGAATTATCCTCACGGGCTAGGATCTCAGGGCTTTGCCTGTACCAGTGTCAATTTGCCAAGTGAATGCTGAGGTCACAGCCTCCCTAATATTCCTGGGGATACCCTAGACCTGAGCTGCTTCTGGTACTTTCTTCCGGTGGTATTTGTTATTATCTTTGAGGCTTCTCACCAAATAAGTCACAAGTCCCTGAAGGCAGGATAGCCACTTTTATTTCTTTTCTGGAGGCCTTTGTAGGCCCAGAGCCAGCGCTGTCCTCTGAAGAGGCAGCTAGCGCCCCCAGGCTCCGTGACCGGCTGGGCCAGTACCCAGGGAGGGGCGGTGGACAGAGCAGGAGCGAGAAGGAAGGGTTGCAATGGCTGGGGTTTCAAACCGAAGAAAGAGGGGATGATCGGAGGGTCTCATGTAACCAACCAGAGCATTTTCAGGTGTATCCAAGGTGATGCATCTCTCCCATTCCACAGATTCCTTTGTGGTTTTGCTTCTGTTCAAGGTCAGCTCTGATGTCTTTCTTTAATTTTGAAGTGAGGTCTGTTGTAGCCAGATGAGTGGAAGAGCTGCCTCACCTCTGTAGCCTGCGCAGCCCGGCCCCCTCTTAAGACGCCCCTGACCTGGCCTGACTCCGTACTGTTCTTTTCTCCTCCTGCCTGTTGTCGTTCCAGCTCTTGCTGGGCAGTGGTGTGGGGACAGTGCGTCTTTATGACACAGAAGCCAAGAAGAATCTCTGTGAAATCAGCATCAATGACGACATGCCCAGGTGAGCTGGAGGCCCCCCAAGGCCGCAGGCTGCCAAGTGTGCTCCGTGGGGCCTAGTGCCCCATGTCCTGTAGTAGGATTAGGCCTCAGAGCCAAATGTGCCCTCCCTTTGGGGGCAGGTGGAGGGTCTGACCTGGGCCCACGTGTGTTGCAGAATCCTGTCCCTTGCGTGCAGCCCCAGCGGGGCCTCTTTCGTCTGTTCGGCCGCAGCCTCGAGCCTCACTTCCCAGGTGGACTCCTCGGCACCCGACATTGGCAGCAAGGGCACGAACCAGGTTCCTGGAAAACTGCTGCTGTGGGACACGAAAACCATGAAGCAGCAGGTACGGGCCCTGCCCTGTAGGTCTCCCTGTGGCGGGACACACTGTCTGCGCTCCCCTGTGAGTCTCCCCTGATGAGTCTCTTCCCCTCAGTTCAGTCCCTCATAGTTCCTGGCATCTTGCTTCCTCCAAAGCTTTTATCACAATTTGTAATTTTGTTTACTTGTGATTTTCACATTTTTAATTAAATATTGAATACATACAAAAGAATATTGAAATCGTGGGTATATGGTATAATGTGAGGAAAAGCAGTTAAACGTTTTTTGCTTTGGTCTCCTTAGATTTTTTAAAAAGTGTAAGTGTTGAAAAGTAGTAGACTCCAGTTGGGAAGACTGTTAGCAACTCAAGTCATTCAGAATTGTGCCAGAAACTTAGAAGTCACCCAGAACCTACCAGAGGGCCCTTGTGGTTTATTTTTTAGGAGAGGACTGGTGCTGCCTGAATCCCTGTTAACTTAGAATTGCGTGAGAATTACAGTAGCAGCCAGCAGTAGCGAGGACACGTGTGTGTTCATAAGAAGTGACAGCTGACCAGACAGCCTGGCCACCGTCCTTGGAGCCGAGGACATGTTTCCCCCAGAATAATAACAGATGCTTGCAGCTGCCACCCTAAGTCCCAGAGAGATTTAATAGTGTTAAACTCACCTGTTTAGAGGGCAGAGATGTTTCTTATTAAAATTATTAGTTTCAGCACTCAAAAGTGGTATGGCCTATTCTGTTGAACATGTTGTTTCCTGATGCTGCTGGACACACTCGAGGGTCCCTGCATCAGCTGGGCTGCGTTCCTGGTGTTCAGCTTGTGCCTTCCTGCATCTGCCTGTAGAAATGGTCTCTGTTCCCATGGGGAGGTCTCTTAGGCTAGTCGGGGCCACACCCGAATTCTTGGCCTCCACCCCCGGCACATCTGTCCCTCCTTTTGCAGTTTTCCTCACTTTGGCAAACACATCCCACTCACAAACTGGGGATCTTCCAGGACCCATCCTTCTCCCTCTGCTCACACAATCCGTCCATGAGAAATGCTGTCAGTGCATTTCCAGTCCGAACACGACCTGCATTTCCAGGAACACACTCTAGACTGGCCTCTGGTGACCCTCCTGTGGCCCTGCCCCCTGTCCTCTACACCGGTTCAGTTCAGTCCCTCATAGTTCCTGGCATCTTGCTATTTTCCTCCAAAGCTCTTATGACAATTCATAATTTTGTTTACTTGTGATTTTCACATTTTTAATTATATATTGAATACATACAAAAGAATATTGAAATCATGGGTGTATGGTATAATGTGAGGAAAAGCAGTTAAACGGGCATTCATGTACCCATCACAGTAAAAATGGAGCATTACCAGTACTTTTTAGCTCTTGCGTGCCCCTCCACAATCTCTGTCTCCTTTCCCCTCCAGAGAGAACTTGTCTTGCATTTTGGCTTACTGTTGCCTTACATTTTAACAATTAGTTTACTACATTAATATATGTCCATAAACAACATAGATTTGTTTTGCATGTTTTCTAACTTCATATCAATGGAACCATAGAATATGTATTTTTCTAGAATGTTCTATTGTATTCTTGATTGAACACTGATTCTCCTAACTCTGACCTGGTTGTATTCTCTGGTGACCTTTGCTGAAACTAAGTTAGCTGTCAGCGTAATTGGCATTGCTTTGTCAGTTGTCTTTTCTCTCTGGCAGCTTTTAGGATCTTCTTATCTGGGTATCAGGGTATGGATTTTCTTGTTTTTAAGTTTTAAAATTTAGTTTTTTTTTTTTTTTTTGAGACAGAGTCTCACTGTGTTGCCCGGGCTAGAGTGCCGTGGCATCATCCTAGCTCACAGCAACCTCAAACTCCTGGGCTCAAGCGATCCTCCTGCCTCGGCCTCCCGAGTAGCTGGGACTACAGGCATGCACCACCATGCCTGGCTAATTTTTTCTATATATTTTTAGTTGTCCAATTAATTTCTTTCTAATTTTAATAGAGACGGGGTCTCGCTCTTGCTCAGGCAAAGTCTTGCTTGGGATTTGTTTGGTTTTCTCAATCAGGGGATTTGTGTCTTTGTTCAATTCTGGAAAATTCTGAGTCATTGTTTTTTCCGGTATTAACAGTTCTCTGATTATCTCTTGCCTTCTGGAACTCCAGTTATATACGTGCTAGAACTTTTCTTGTCCTTTTTTTGTTTCACTTTTCTGCATTCTTGATGATAGTTTCTTCAGATTTATGAGTTTGCTAATTCTTTCCGCCACTGCATCTAATCTTCTACTGAACCTATTAGAATATCAATTTCAGTTATTGTATTTCTCATTTCTAGAGGCTCAACTTCATTTTTTCAAACCTGTTTCATCATTTTTACAGTCTCCCATTTTTATCTATATTTTCTTTTTTTTAGAGATAGGGTCTCACTCTGATGCCCAGGCTGGAATGCAGTGCTGTGATTATAGCTCACTGCAGCCTTGAACTCCTGGGCTCAAGCAGTCCTCCTGCCTCAGCCTCCTGAGTTGCTGAGACTACAGGCGTGAGCCACCACACCTGGCTTTTATCCATATTTTCAATTCCTTCTTTTATTTTGTTGAATATATTGGATGTTCTCATTGTATGTTCTGTCTGGTCATTCTAACATCTCAAGTCTTTGTGCATCTGACTCTGCTCCTGCTCTCTGCTGTTCCTGTGAGCACGTGCTCCAGTTGCCTGATTTTCCTGTCTTAATGAATTTTGACTGTGGGTTTCTGTTTCTTGGACCTTTGTCCTTGAGAATATTTTGAGTCTTGGGTTGGAGCTGCATTTCTCTGGAGAAGATTTGCATTCACTTTTGCCAGGTGCCTGCGGGCACTGCCAACTCCTGCCAACTTTAAAATAAATTCTCTGCTTGAGGTTTCTCAGCCTACAGAGGGATTGTGAATTTGGGTCACATCAGGGCCAGTTTGTGATTACAGCTTTGCAGAGAGGTAAGTTTGTTATCCCTTCTTGTGAAGTAGGTTTATTTCTAGTTCATTCCCCCGCTCAGGGTATAGCTCTTTGGAGTCCCGGCTTTACGTGATAGTTTCTCGTCACCTGACCCTGGGCAGGTCTTACGCTGTTGTCTCCAGGCCCCTAAGCTCTGCGTGGCTGTCACAGCGGGAAGTTGGGTCACCTGGGTTCGATGACTGGCCCATAGTGAAGGCCAGCTGCGGAAGTCACTAGTTCCCTGGACTCTTGCTGTCCCTTCTTTTTGGCCTCAGATGAGTCCTTTATTTGCTAGCTCAGCATTGTGTGTGTGTGTGTGTGTGTGTGTGTGTGTGTGTGTGTTAATAACATTCTATCTTGTGTTCCTAGTTTCAGCAGGGTTATTTAGGGTTCCTGGGGTTCCATATTGTTTGAAATGATATTCTTCATTAATTATCTGATTAATTAATAGACCTTAAGTTCTGTGAGGTTGTTTTGTTTGCTGCTGTATTTCAAAGAGTTTCTGTGGGGGGCCGTAGGGCTTGATGGGAAGGGAATGGAGCAGCCACGTGACCCTGGCACAGGCAGTCTTCTAGGGGTGACTGTCACGAAAGGCAGTTGATGAAGTGTTATTTCCTGGTGGTGGTAAGACTTTTCAATAAGAATTAGCTTGGAATGCACTCTGGGTGAAGTGTAGGACACTCAGATGTGGATTACTCATTTTATAACTGAGCAAGCCTGGATTATTATCTGCGTGGAAACCAGAATGTTCTAGGGCACAGAGACTTTGCCCTGGAAAGAGCTCAGAAGGTCATAAGCACAGCACTTTGGCAAAGGCTCAGGTCCACCCAGCCTGGGATGCCTATGTATGTGTCTACGTTGGAGTAAGCAGCGTGCTTGGGCTTGGTGAAGATCTGGTAATGGTGTTTTTGTTTTGTTTTAATAGCTCCAGTTCTCCCTGGATCCAGAACCCATTGCTATCAACTGTACAGCCTTTAATCACAATGGGAACCTGCTGGTCACAGGGGCAGCCGATGGTGTCATCCGCTTGTTTGGTATGCAAGTGTGCTCATGGCAATCCTTGTGCCCTCCTCTGATGTCCCAGGGAAGAGGGTTGGATTTTTTTTGCAGTTAGAGGCTATTGCAAAACCCTGATTTCAGATGTACGTACTAGTGCTTAACTTTGGTCAGAGTTTTCAAAACACCCATGGTAATCAACTTGCACCTGGTTAGTGTCAGCAGCTGTGGGGGGGTGGTGGAGCACGACAGTCCTGTTCCATTGGAGTCCTCAACACCCATATGGAATCCTGAAGGACACAGGAGAGTGATGCCATCCTCTCCGCCTGCTGTTGGCAGCTCTTTCTCCTCACAAAAGCATCAGAACGGTGCTCCTTAACCAGGGGCATCCGAGCCATCTGGCGTGCTGTTTACAAATCCTAGGCCAGGCCCTGTCCCTAGGACACACCCCCAGGTCTGGACTGTATCTTCAAGGGATCCCCAGGGTACCCTGGGGGAAGTTACAGAGGGCAGGTGCTCGAGTGTCCCCCTGGACTTAGGGCTCCCCAGAAGAGCTCCAGCTCCCCCTGGGGGACTCCCGAACCTTGCTTTGATCCAGCGAAGGAAGCTGCTTCCGAAGCTCAGACGCAGCATGACCTCTGGGGCAGGGGCAGCTCTGTGACACCTGTCGGGTCCAGCAGGCCCTTGGCCTCCAGAACAGCTGTCACCCCTGAGCAGAGGGCCAGGGGCCTCCTGGTGCAGGCAGATGCCTTCCTCAGTGCCCGGGCTAGAATCTGAGTGGCAGTGTCTCGTTGCCTCAGACATGCAGCAGCACGAGTGTGCGATGAGCTGGAGGGCCCACTGCGGAGAGGTCTACTCCGTGGAGTTCAGCTACGACGAGAACGCTGTGTACAGCATCGGCGAGGATGGGAAGGTAGGCACCCGAGGATTCCGATGAGAGAGCACTGGGATCACACAATGGGCAGGGTTTAGGTCCCGCCCATACTGTTTACCAGCTCTGTGACTTTCGGCCTCTTTCTGCCTCAGTTTTGTCATCTGTAAAATAGGGATAAAATAGCGTTGCATCTCATAGGATCCTTTGTGTGGTTTAAATGAGTTCAGTGGGAGTCAGCTATCCTTATGAAAGGGAATGGCACGACTGTTCTCCTTGTAGCAAAAGTAACTCATCTCACCATGGATGGGGTCCAATTTGGGACTACAATATGCTTTGGTGAGCTCAGTAATGGGTGGTCTTGGGACCACTCATGGATGCATGGTTTGCTGAGGGGATTGGGACATCTCCCCAGAGGCGTACAGGCCTGAGCAGAGTCCAAAGATGTAAGAAGGAAGCCAGAAAAAAAGGTGAAAGTAAAAGCAAATGCCCCCTCGTAGATTGCATCTGTCGAGGTGCATTAGGGGGCGGGAACAGTGTCGCCTTGGGAAGGCAGCCAGGCGGTGGGCAGGGTGGGGGAGAAAGTTCAGCTTTCCATGCTTGCCCTCCTGTGCCTTTGGATTTGATACTGTGTACCTTCTTATCCACTGAAAACAGGAACTATAAAATAAATTCTTCATTTGAGAAGTGTAGGAAGGGATTATTAAAGCTTCACTTCCTGTTTGTGTGGGTAGGACTCCCAGTGAAGAGGTGGTCACCGCCGAGCAGCCATGGGGCAGGCTCACGGGTCATGGACACCGCGGTGAATGAAGCCACGTTTACCACCGCGTCACTCAGTGTTCAACTGATGGGATTGCCGAGAAACTGGAAATGTATTCGGAATCTGTCCTCTCTACCTTGTTCCTAAGATAGAAAAATCTAGCTGGTTTCTAACTATGATGAGGCTGAGGATGATGATGAACATCATCATCATCATGGCGGCACTTGAAGCATTCCCCCTGCTGAGAGACCAGAAATCCATGCAAAGCCAGTTGCTGTCCCTTTTTCTCTCCTATTGGACTTTGATGTGAGGTTGCTGACTGTTTTTCTAGATATTCTTCCTTAAAAAATGCTTAGATTTTGTTGGCGAGAGAGGGGACTTAGGAGTGGCCTGGGGACCCCTCACCCCAAGCCCCTTTTCTGCCTTTGGCAGTTGAAAGGCCTTTCAAAAGTGCCAGAACTGTGGCCTGGGGAGGTGAGTCCCCCTTGCCAGCCTCTGCTCCGGGGTCGGTCCTCACTCTCCCCTCCAGGTTTGGGCCCTGGGCTGTGGCTGGCTAGGCTCTGCTAAGAGAGCACCCTGCTTGTGCTCTGTGACTGCAGTTCATCCAGTGGAACATCCACAAGAGCGGCCTGAAGGTGTCTGAGTATGGCCTCCCCTCCGACGCCACCGGCCCCTTTGTGCTGTCCGGATACAGTGGCTACAAGCAGGTGCAAGTCCCCAGGGGCCGACTCTTCGCTTTTGACTCAGAGGGCAATTACATGCTGACATGTTCTGCCACGGGGGGCGTCATCTACAAGGTAACTGGGTGGGGTGTTGTGGTGGGCAGAGGCTTCCTCCCTGGAGGTCTGGGTTGCGGTTGGGCTGAGCGTGACCTTCTATCCCCACGCTGCTGGGCAGTGGAGATGCTTTTGACACAGGGTGGCCAGCATGGAGAGCCTCCCTGCTGTGAGCCAGGCCAGGGCTGCTTCTCAGCTCAGGTGGAGAAGGCAGGATTGGGGCGGAGCACAAGGTGCCTGTCCCTTCTGCTCATCTAGGACAAGATTCTGCCCTCTTCCTGCCTCTGTTCCTTGGGAACAACACCTATTATAGAAAATGTTAAGGAATAAGAAGAGTTGCGAAGTGTTGGGGTGGGGGAAACATGCCCCCAAAGAGGTCCAAGCCAGCTGGATTTTTCAGTTACTCTAATCTGGTATGGATTTGTTATTTCATTGGTTGTCCCGTGGGTCAAGTACCTTCCAGTCCATGTTTGAGACAGAATTTGAGCATTTGATTTATCAAACCATAATGTGAGTGTCCACATTGTTTTTGTCCCTCAGCTTACACATTTGTTTAAATTCTCAAGTTAGAGCTTTTGTTCCATGTCCTTTTTTAATACAATTATATGAAAGTATGTGTCTTCTGTTTTACTGGCATCATCAAATAGACTAGATGAGGATCGTGTTGTAGCCTAAGCTCCTGTGTCTGTACCAAGTGAATTCATTCTCAGCCTCAGTGTTAATTTGTAATTATTTGCCTGATGGTGGTGTTTGGTGTAGGTAGAGAGAGTCATACAAGGTGGAATGTTCTCAGTGTCCGTCATTGCCACAGCTCATGGGTCAGTCAACAACATGAGTTTTGGACAGAAATTGTGTGCTGGGTGTTGGACTAGGCACTGAGCTATGATCTCTGCTCTCCTGGGGCACACGCTCAAATTAGAGGCACAGGGCCGACAGTGGGGAACAGCACAGCATGGAGCAGTTCTGAGAGGAGGAAGCTCTTCGTGGGGTTTGAGACCTCAGGGAGGTCCCTGGGGAGGCCATGGACCCAGGAGGAGGGAGGAGTTGGGTAGATAGGAGGAAGGCAGGCCTTGGGGCCCCACCTGGGCAGAGGCAAGTGAGAACTCATGGTGTGGGGGAAGTGGGTGCTGAGGTGGGAAATGAGGAGCCTCCTAGACTGTGGCCTGAGGTGTGTGCAGTGAGGTCTGGGCTCACCGGCACTAAGGCCCCCCTTTTCTACAGCGGGTGATGATTCTAGTGGCTCTTGCCCTCTCCTTAAAAATTAGCTCCATCCTTTCTCATAGCTGCTTATCCCCCAGTGGAGAGACTATGAACAGTGTTCAGTTTACAAGCCTGATTTTATTGTTT